GTAGCCAAATATAGATGGAAATTGGGAGGGTTTGGTTGGGCATGGTGTTCTATGTAAAAAGGTAAAGGAGGAAGGGTTGATGGGTGGTGCATCTGCGAGCCTAGTGCTGGGCGGTGGCGGATTGGGGATATATATTAGGGTTTATATTTTTTATGAGTGTTTTATTATTTTTTATACATATTTTCTTAAACCGGCATAAACTGGTATGTATACCGCTTATACCACAGTTGAACCATTTCACTTGTGAAACCGGCGCACCGGCATAAACCGGTTTGATAACCTTGCCTTCTTGCTTCCATGAGATGATGTTGTCTTCAAGCTTCGTCGGGGGTGGCTTGGGACCAGTCTTGAGGCTCGCACCGAATCCTCTCTCTATGCTCACCAAAAATATCCCCATGGTCTCCAAGTTTCCTCACCGACTCATCAAGAACGTCCTTCACAACCAAAGACAAAATTGGAGTTGGAGATTTAGATGGAGATTTTCAAGAAGATGAGCAAGAACCTAGTGGAAGTGGGGATGGGAAGAAGAAAGGGAAGATTTGAGAAGATTTCGAGAAAGTGAAAAGAGAGGCCATTCGGAAAGGAACTAGAAAAAGTTCCAAATATGAGTTTGATAAGTACCTTGAGGAGGAGGAGGATGAGGAGGTTACACGAGCAGTGGTGGGTTAATAAGAAGATGAGTACAAGTTTGACATCTTGGGATGGTGGTCACGAAGTGGGATGAAATATCCTATTATTTCTAAGATGGCTAGGGATATTCTCGTTGTTCCTATTTCCGTTGTTGCTTTTGAGTCTTGCTGTGAAGATTGAATAAGATCTTCTGACTCCGAGTTGGTGATTGGTGGTTGATGGAGAAGATGATGGTGATGAAGTTGTATTTCAGAATGGTAAGAACTTAATCTTTCTCTTTATTCTTCGATTTTAGTTTATGTTAGTTATCTTAATCAAATCTTATTCTAACAAGTTGTTGTTTATGTTATCCAGTATTTGCATCTTTTCAAGCTCGAAGTGCAAGTGCACCTGCAGGTTGGGGTGGAAATTGATATGATCCCAAATTTCCAACCATTCACGTCACAATTACTTGACAAAGAAGCTATCGAAGTTGGGAAGAAGAAAGGCAGAATTTCGCTAAGTCAAAATCCGTGCTCAGGGTACATACTTTGGAGGCATGGTTCTTTCAATTGGCTTGGTGAAAATTCCATTTCAAGGGCTTGTTTTACAGACAAAATTGTCATGTTTCTAATGGTATGCTTTGTGGATCCAGAAGATGTGATTAAGGTTGTTTTCCAAGGCCTCAAAGTTGCTACCTCAAAACTGGAAAACTGCCAGAAAATGATTAAGGCAGCAAATTGTTTTGTGAAGCTTGCTTTGGAGCTTCATTCGAGGGGTATGGATCTGATTCAAGTCCAAAGGCTTCCACATAGGGGTGGCTATACGGTCCGGTCCGGTTAAATTGGCCCGAATTGATCCGGTCCAGTCCGGTTTTTTTGAAAATATAAGGACCGAAGATTGGATTGGATACAGTCCGTCTTGATCCGGTCCGGTCTTGACCCGGTCCGGTCCCAATTCGGTCTTGGTTTTATATTGAGATTGTGGGAATTTGAGTGGCCTAAGGCCTAAAAGGGTGAGGAGTTGGTTAAGTTTTGTACTAAGTGCAAAGGTTTGTGACCGTTTATGCAAATTACCCTTAAGTTTTGGATGTTGAGCTCTCTTATCCGGTCTTTATCCGGTTTTTTACCTCAAATCTAAGCCCAAAAATTGGATTGGATTGTTTACTATCCGGTCCCGGTCCGGTCTCGGTCCGGGTTATACGGTCCGGTTTCCGGTTTTTCATCCGGTCCCGGTCCAAATAGCCACCCCTACTTCCACAACATGAAACTAGGTAGGTTTATCTACCAAGGGAAGGAATCAGATGAAAGATTGGAGTTCTGAAAGGCCTCGAACAACAGGCGCAAAGTTAGTACGAAAGCTGCTTTTGGACTGTTTTCTGGCAGCTTACTTGCGCTTGAAGAAAAGGAGTTTAAACCCGAATTTTGTGTCCTTTTTAGTGTAGAGTTTTACCTTAATTATTTTCTAGTTCTAATAGGATTGTATTAGGTGTTATTTTCCTTTAAATACCGTTCTATTTCGTTGTAAAATTGAGAGTTGATTGAATAGAAAAGCAACCGTTTGGTTTTGCAAGTTGGCGAACTTGTTTTGGGTTTGGTGGATTCCAAACTTGCTGAGCTTTGTATCGATTGAATAGTCCCTTCAATCGTGGTCGAGCAACTACCCTTTTATATCATACGCGCTTTCCCCAGGTGTGGAATTGTCCGTTGGTTCTGTTTTATCCAATTTTCGTATTAAGAACGCGTTGTTCTTGATTCGAGTTCAATCAATCTTCGGATTGATTGTTTGCTGCGTGACTTTGATAAAAATACACCCCCAGGGTCGTATTAGAAATTGGGGTGAGTGTGGATACCCGCCCCACATTTTGCGGGTACCCACACCCACAAATTTACAATTATGCTACCCACAACCCGCACCGCAGTGGTTAGTGGGTAACCACTACCCACTGTGGATTTGTGCGGGTTGGGTGTGGTTACCTGCAAAAATCCATCTTTGCAAGTATATCTAGTTGCCACTAACGTATTTGTTGTTCGTAACTAGACTATAGTGATATACACTTGTGTTGTTCGTGGAGATACAATTTTGTACATCGATCTTACTCAACGTGAAGATTTTTTCTTTTTGAGTTTGGTATTCAACTTTTGTGTCAGAGAGTTGTGATTTCATATCCCCGACTAGGGGTGAAATATGACAATTAAATATGATATTGTATTTTTTCACACAAAAGCAAAAACATACTGATAAAAGTTACAAAAGGTGTTCACTTTTAATGTATTGATTATTCTCCACTCTATCGAAAGGTGTATCTTTTTTATTTGGTGACTACTTTAATTTTTATCCTCACACTTTTCACATACTATTATATTATAAAGTTAATTCACTAAATAAATATAATTAGTGTGGTTATTGTGGATTTTGTGGGTTAGCCGCGGTGGATAGTGGATAACCACTAACCACAAAAATCGTTATTTTACTACCCGCACCCAACTCACTACCCACAACTTGTGGGTATGGTTACCCACAATAGGTGCGGGTTGGTGCGGTTTGCGGATTATCCACAACCCGCAACCCAAACTTCCACCCCTACCTGCAGGACCTAGTGGAAGCTCACATTCTACCTATGTTGAGATCTCTAGTCCTATAGGGTCACAAGCTAAGGAAAGTTATTTAAGTGTTGATTTTGATGAGAATGTTGAGACTTATGTGGATATAGAGTCTGATGAGGTGGAGTGATAATGGTAGTGGTGTTTATGATGGATAGACTTTGATTTGAGACGATGATAATCTCATCTATGAATGTTAATGATTTTATTTTGAAAAATATTATTTTCTTCTATATGGTCTTTACCGATAATATATCTCACACGAAGAAGCTAACTTAGAAATTAACCAGGGCGTAACCCCGGGCGCGAAGAATAAATTTCTAAGGATATATATCAAACTTAATTTCTTTGTCTCTTATAGTTGTATGAAGCATTAATGATTTTATGTTGAAAAATATTATTTTCTTCTATATGGTCTTTACTGATATTATATCTCACACGAAGAAGCTAATTTAGAAATTAAGGATATAGATCAAACTTAATTTCTTTGTCTCCTATAGTTATATGAAGCATTTCTATGTCAGTAAGATAGATTAAAAAATTGTAAGTTTACCAAATCTGTCTATATCTATTATTTTCTTGTTGGCGTAATATCTTCCCCTTTATTTATATAAGCAAGCAGATTAGAGGTGAGAATCTCTCATATCAAGCTTAATTCCTTTCGCCATTTTAAAATAATTTATTTTATATATTTTATAACTACTGACACACTATTAAAATACTCATACATATTTTATAAGTATATGTACTCGTACCGTATATAACCGACTATAATTTTTATCAATTCATTCATCCACTAGACTACATGAGAAGCTTAAGAAACAGAGAGAGCAAGGGCAATAACTGCAGTTGCAATTATGACAACAACAAAAAAAAATGCAGTGGCAATGGTTTGTAACGATTATGCAGATCTAATAAACTGATGCTGTCATCATGTTCACTCTAATGACGACTGGACGGTTAGTGTGCAATACAGGACGAACTTCAGCAAGTACCTAATGAAAAACACCTTAGGGACTCGACCAAGAGGACTAAATACTAACGAAATGAGAGCTTTTATGAAAATACAATTTTCAAGATACTGAAACTATGCATACTACCAAGTTGAGAGATGTAAATCTCTACCAACGGACACGGGGAGGCGTCTGGTGCTCCCCTGCAACAACATATTAGAGCGATCCATGGTTCTAAACAGCATAAAGTAACCACACCAATCCATACAAGTTTTTGACAAAAGGAGGTAATGTCAATTGCGGTGAGATGAGTCCAGCAGTCCAAACTGCAGATGAAAGCTGTTCAGAGCATGGCAAACATCTAATTTAACTTGACAGATTCACACTAGATATTAAGACGATGACACAAAAAGCAAAGAAGCCCCATGTTCAGCCACCGAAATTGGAAATCAGCTGCAAGCGGCATGGCCAATCCTCCACAAGTAGCCCTGGAAATTTTGGAGCCCCCCACAATCACATTGCCCTCAGACAAGCGTGCCAAAATCTCCCAACTAGTCAAAAGAAGAGATGAGCTCAGCACCTTGCAAAGGCACTAAGGGGTCATTTGGATGCAGGTTTTGGGTGTGGGATTTGGGCACAATCCCACATAGTGCAGGATTTTAATCAAAATCACTCATTTGGAAAGCCTTAATACGATGAGAGATTTTAAACATTAGGGATTTCAGAAACCCACAATTGTAGGATTGTGAAATAGCTGATGGCCATCAGCTATTTTGAAATCCCACAATATTTGGTCATTTTGTTCCGTAAATGCCCATGCTCTTTTTGTGCTAATCCAACTTTACCCTCCTCATTCTATTAACCTATCCATCAACCCATTTGCCTGTCGTCACTCTCAACAGAAGACAGGAAGCTCAATGAGCTTGTGGCAGTTGAAGTGACCACATCGGCGGCAACGAAGCAGTAGTCCGACGATCAAGTAGCAGAGGCGGTGGGTCTGCTAGCTCAACTCGTTTCAGGTTAGTTGCTCTTCTTCGGGTTACAATCTGGATATTTAGGGTTCTGTTCTTGCCTGCTGTCGGCTTGGGTTTGTGGGTTCTGCTTGGGTTTTTGCGTGCTGTCCGCTTCTTCTCCCATCAATTTGTACTGCTGGTTTGTGGGTTACCTGTGTAGAACCCATACCCTCGTCGGAGCCATGTTGGGATGGGAAAGTAACGGAATACACCCAAATTTATAAATGGGCTTTCAATTACGATCAGTTCTATTTGGCTGGGATGGGCAAAGAAAGCATGTTCATATATTTGTGCGCAGGTTGTTGTCTTGCTGACCATACCCATTAATTCATCCAAACCTACAATGAGCCAAATAATCTGATTAAACAAATAAACCATTTCATTTACCCTTTCTCTTCTTTGAATTAATTTGTTGTTGTTTGATTCCATTTCATTTACCATTTCATTTGCATGTTGGCTTTGGAGATGACGAATGTAGAACGGCGCCCTACCGACGATGAACCTGTGACCGACGAACGGCGGCAGCTGCTGTCCTCCAGAGCGCAGTGAAGGAAAGAATCGACAATGGTGAGAAGAAACCCTAGTTGTGATCGAGAAAGAAGAAATAGCAGCAGTGAACGGCCAAATTTGGGCCCTTGTACAAATAAATAGGGAAGGTTAATGATGTAATCTTGCATTCTCATTTTATAAATGCCACATATGTTCCCAAACGTGTGATTTGCCTAAATTCCACACCAAATTCCACAAATTAAAAACCTGGGTTTTTTAATCAGTGATTTGAGCCAAAATCCCACAAATTAAAAACCTGCATCCAAATGACCCCTAAAAGGAAAAACAGCACAAAAGACGGTTGAGAATTCAAAACACAAGCATATTTATGCACAGGTCGCCAGGGTGACAGTTTGTTTCTTCTCCTTTTCCCAGTCCCACGAGAAACCACACAAAAACGCACACAGGCCGTGACATTAGTTCCATCAATGAAGGATGACGGGAAGGTAATTGGAGAATCCTCACTCTTAAACACTCGAGGACAAGCCAAGTCTGGGAAAGTTAAACAACCATAGTATCCACATGGAAACATCCAGAGTGTCAAATACTAGGAAGGAAGAAAGGATAGAAACTGGTACTTGGAACAACAAAACTTACCACTATAGAGAGAATCCGATGCAACGATTTCACATGGCTGAGCAATCCAGCTCCTTCAATAAACACCCATCTCTATATAGCTGGTGCGAGTAAAGGCCGTGACACGAGAGGAACCAAAATCATGTGAAAAAGCACTGAAATCCTCCACCGTGCCTAAGATTTCACAACCACCATCTTCGCCAATCAATCTAAACTTGCAAACCTTGAACTGGCTCCTCAGTTCATACGTAGTAAGTCCCCACCAGAGAAAAAGACAGTAGACATCACCATCTCCAAAAGGAACCACCCTCGCGTCCCCAAATTTACAATCATCCGGTACAAGACCAAGAGCATAATCTGAAAGATAACGCATATCCCTAATCTTGTGTTGCTCCTGCTGCAGCAGCAGATGATCATAACTCGCCCAAGGATTCGACATGTACTTAACACGGATGACTTCGAAGGGGCGATGATCCGGCATGCTCACCATAAACAACCGACCATTGTGAACAAGATTCGAACAGTGCGCCTCAGGAAGCCGATCCCATGGGTACATCATCAGCGTCAGGTTGGGCCTCATAGGTGAGATGTCATCATGATCAGCATGCTCAGTCATGATGCGACGCCACTTTAGCTCTTCCATGTCAAGAGCAAACACAGAGGAGCCAACAAAAGTGTGCATATAAACAATCAATTCCCTCCCTACAACTACATGACCCAGGTAATCTGGAAGCCCATTGTACCATTGGATCAAATTGGGATCCCACATCTCCCATGGCAGATCAACGATTTGCGTGGACATATCCTTGAGGTCCAAAACCTCACAAGGAGCAGAGAGGTCGTTGAACGACATGGGGTCATAAACCCTCGACAAGATGAAAATCTTGTCATTGTAAGGAACGTGGATCGGCTCGACCTTGGGTCCCTTCAGCAGAGCTGGGTATTGCTGAAACTTGAGTGGTTGTTGTTGGATGTCGGGGTCCGTTCCAAGATCGCAGACGAATACATCTCGCGGATATTTCCAGTACGTGAAGCCATCATCATCAGAATCGTCATTGCCAGAAGGAGAGGTATTTATCTGACGACCACCAAAAGCATATAATTTCGAATCCACGACTGCGAGACCCATAGTCGAGAATTTACCGCGAAAATAGCAGTCGGGGGCGACGACGGTAACGGTGGCGGTGCGGATAGTGTCGTTGTTGTCATAGGAGGCCGCCGTCTTGTTTTTTCGACTCATCAGAGCGACGGTCACCTTCTTTCTGGAACCAGAAACAATTCCACTATCCCACCACCTCCGCCGCGGCTTCTTGCGCGCCGGCGACGCTACCGCCGAGTCCGAGGACATTGTTTGGCTTTACCCTAACCTCACCAAAGAATCAACAACGAGGGTAAATTCGTCTGCGTTTACTCCGTCTTGCTTTCTACCGATTGAAGAAGACCAGAAAAATAAAAGGGAAGTGAAATAGAGGATTTCGTCGGCTCCCACGAATGTAAGAGGATAGAGGGGAGCGGAGTAGGGGACTAGGGGCGGGCAGAGAGGGGAAGAACGTATTGACTGGGCGCGTTTGGGTTTTTTTTTTAATTTTTACAAAGGATTTACTCTTGTATTGCTCTTTGAAAGATAGATTACATTCTACCAAAAAACAAAAAAAAAAGATAGATTACAAGACAAGCCAACAAAGAAGTCCAAAAAAGACAAGGACAGACAACTTAAAGTACACAATTGATCAATCTGTGTTAAAGAAATACAACAAGGGAAGAACAAAACATAGAAAGGATCAACCCATATGATCTGCAGCACTTGAATCATATTCAGAAAACACCGAAACCTCTCTTGCAATCAAACCAATCAAAGAGCACCAAGCACAATCAGCTCTTCCGATCCGACCGAATCCATGACAATTGAACACAACGCCATATGCCGCCTCCTCGGAGTCGCTCTAAGACGCTCAACACAGTGAATAGGGTTTCGTTGTGGCCTTCCGAAGCTATGAGAATGCCTCTGTGCTTTTTTATTCTTTGTATTATTACTAACTTTTACCCGACCCGTTGGTCGGATGAATACATCTTATTTGTTATTAGTTCGTGATAATCACTTCATTCATATATGAAAATGATTTGGGACATTCTTAATAATTTATTAAAGAATCAAACTTAATCTTTGCACTACTTGCTACTTGTGAGATTGGTAATAATTAGTTTATATGTATTTTTGGTTGATCGAATTATCCTAACTCACTAGTGTCTATATATGTTTCATGTTAAAACAATTTGCACTCTTATTGTAACCATAAAATGCTTAAAATATTTATTCATACCTATATTATTATATTTTTTCTCTATTAAATCCAAATGAAACTAAGACAATTATGTATTAAAATAGTAATTAGAAACTTCAAGGATTAGCCTAATGCTAATATGAAAGGATAACTCATCATCTAATGGGTTCAAACTTTATGGTCAATGATCATTTGAAATGATAATAATAATAATAATTAAGAACACATAAATTATTAAATACCAATTGATTAATAACTAATATATATCTTAAAACAATTGGGATTATTAAGGGCTGACAACAACGGTTTAAGCCAATTATACTTGTCATAAATCTAAAATATTCTAACATTTTTACACTTTTATATTAAATAAAGCACTCAATGACTCAAACATACAACCACTTATTGTGAAAATTGAATTTTCTTAAAATTTCATGATTTCGAGAAAAGAATATCATATGTGTCATTTAGATAACAAAGTTTAGTGTGGAAAATGGTATATAAATCCAACACCTATTAGATTTGTATAACTATCGCATCTAGAGATCCTAAATATATATATATATATATATATATATGGCAAAGGTTAGCGTACGCCCGGACGTACCCTAGTCTACCGTACGCCCGTTGAGTTTTGCTATTTAAACAATGAATTAACCGGAGTTTGGGGCATGATATTATACCCTAACCCCTAATGGGTGAACCCCAGTCCGCAATTCACTAACCCAAAGCATAATATTCATTTAATGTTGAAATGAAAATCAACGGTTTTCATTCGTCGAAACTATTGTTGATTTTCATTTCAAGATTAAACGAATCTCATGATTTGGGTTAGAAAACTAGGGACTGGGGTTTATCCATTAGTGGTTAGGGTATAGTATCATGCCCAAAACTCCGGTTAATTCATGATCTAAATAGCAAAACTCAAACGGGCGTACGATAGTCTAACGTACGCCCGAGTGTACGCTAGCCTAAACTATATAATATTATATATATATATATATGGGCAGTTCTACGGTGCCCAGGGCAAAATCCGGGGTACGGGTAACCGGGGGCAAGGAAAATTACCAAAAGCATCACGAAGCGTTTATGCTTTATTCATTGGACTTCAACCTAACTGTACCCAGTTTAATGATATCGATTAAGAGGTTAAACCCTATGGATACGACCCGCCGCCCTAACCAATTTCCAGTCTCCCTTCTACGATCCCTCATTCGCCTTGGAGGGTCCCCTCTAAGTTCGAAGTTCGATCATAAGCTGCCTATCAAATCTGAAATCTCCAACAAAATCATCGTTTTGAAACCCAAATCCTTTTATTATTTGATCCACATTCGATTTAGCTCCCTATCCAATCTCAAATCCCCAACATCATCATGTTTCATACGCCAAATCTATGTATCCACATTCGAAGAGAAGATCCCCATCCAGTATGAAATCCTCACATAATCATCGTTTTGAACCCCAAATCCTTTTATCCACAAATCGACGTTTTGTTCATCACCATTTTATTTCCGTGCGGAATTTACTCGCCTATCTCTTTCTAACACGATTACGGCGACCATGTCTATTATTTTGTTCATCAAACTTTTCGTTTGCAAAAGAACCCTTGAAAGAGGTTTGCTAACCCTAGGGTTCATGTCGCTAGTGCTTTGTCATCTTGTCTTAGCGTTATTGTCATTTTCTCGAAACTTCTATCACTCGGTGAAATTAAGGTTTCCTGATATGCAGTGTTCGTCTCGCCCAGAGGATTGAGGAAGGAGATGAAGAAGACCTAATTTGATTCAAATCAGATGGAGAGGTCTCCTTAATTTGTGTTTATGTATTAACGGTGCGTTTAGGACTAATTCTAGTTGGACTGGGTCTGATCATTGATTTTTGCAGGCTTTTCAATAACATTCAAAAGTGGGCTTGTACATGACCCATGACACCTAGTTTGTTGATAATGGATACTGAGTTCCGGATTGTCATTAGGTTGGGCCTTTGATAATTGTCTATCTCAGTGGCGATTCTTTGTTTTACTTATTTTCATCTGCTTCTGCTTCTAAAATCCTGATCATGCATTGAGTTCACGCAATTTAAACATAATTCTGTGTTCCATCTTTTTTGGGATTTGGTAAATGCTAGCGTGTCTCTTTACACATTTAGGGGTACGAGGTAAACTACAATCCGCCCAATTTAACTCTTCATTAATTGAGATCCTATTCCACTCTCTCACCGATTTCCCCTCTTTATGCAATGCACTCGTACATAACAAACCTCTTGGAGACTAATTAGAGGCTTGTGGTTGGATACTGAGTGAGGATATTTTTTTAATTTATGTTTTGAAACGAAAGTTAGAATTTCACTTTTGAAGTACCTATGTACTTTAGTTGGCCAAGTATTTTCAAAATGTAAAATTTTATCAGCGTATAGGTATACGATTGTTGTATAAGGTGTTGATGTTAAAGGAAATGGGTACTGACGGCTTAGGGTATTAGGTTGTTGATGGTATAGAGTATATGGTATATGGGTAGGTTATAAGGTGTTGATGGTTTAGAGCATATGGTATCGATTGGTTAAAGGGTGAGGGTAGGTGTTGTCTTATTTTTTCTCGATTTTATATTTTCTTTATATCTGCTTATAAATGCTGATCATGCCTTATTACTAAAAAAACTTAGACATAATTATTGTAGCATGACACATTTATCAGTACGAGATAAAATGATTTGGTGTGTGCAAGGTAGGTTCCTATTATCTATTTTGCCTTGTTGGTTATCCTTGTTGGTGATCCCGGCCATTAGCGATTCGCCGCATATGGAATGAAAATTAGTTAGAGTTATTAAGTTCATCTTTCTTCATTTATTGTTTGATTTGAACCTGCGTGTTTTTGGTCCGAATGATTTTGTAGTGGCGTGGTAAAGACAATCCGTCCAATTTAACTCTTCATTAATTCCCCCTTTTCTTTTCTTTTTTGGTAGAATAATTACCCCTTTTCCACTCTCTCAGTCCCCGCCAAAGTTGAAACAATCCCCTGTGATATATTTATCGTTCATTTTAACCCTTCACTTAATAAGAAAGCAAAATTATGCAAGATGGTCATCAATGTGATGTAGCTTAATTGGTTAATTGTCTGTTATTTGCTTAGTCAATAAAGTAGAGGTTTTTGGTTCGATACTTAGTGAGTATCAATTTTTAATTTATGTTTTGAAAAGCAAGTTATAATTTTAATTTATCAGCGTATAGGTATACGATATTGTATAAGGTGTTGATGGTTTAGAGTACATGGTATTGGGTTAGTGTATTGATCATCTCCATCCCTAAAATACGATATTGTATAAGGTTGTGATGGTTTAGAGTATATGGTATTGGGTTAGTGTATTGATCATCTTCATCCCTAAATTTGAACAACAATTTCTAAACGAGGTCCCTACCGCCACATCATCAATTTTAGCAATTCATCACTTAACAATTTCTATTCATCTACATCCCTAAATTATGCTAGCAATTGCCAAGGTGGGTTCCATTTTATATTTCAAATTAAACACTTATTATAAATTGAAAGTTGGGGATGGAGATAGAAGAAGGTGTTGTTGGTATACAGTATAAGGTCTTGAAGGTTATGGTATAAGGGAGGAGCAAGGTGTTGATGGTTTAAAGTATATATGTTATTGATTGGTTACGGTATAAGCCTATAAGGTGTTGTTATTGTTGTAGAGTATATGGTATTGATTGGTTCGTGTATTAGGGTTTGGTTTAGGGTTTAGGGTTATGATTCAAGTTAGAATAACATAAACCAGATCAATAGAGTAATGTTGGTAAACGAAAAAGTTAGTTAATCTACAAATTCAGACTATTTATAAAAGTACATCCCCATTTTCCACCGTCAATTCCTAAACTTTTCCCTTAATTCGATGGTGAAATACCTTCGATCCTTGTCGCGTGTGTGTCACCCAATCAGATATTGCCGAATTCGGAAACTCGCTTTTGCCCATAACCAATGCTGGCGTTACCAAGGCCTAGGCAGTGGTAGGGAGTGTAATTTTCAGTAAATGTGAAGGGAGGGAAAGTAAAAGTAATTACGAGTCAATCTATAAATTCGTTAATCAGTGAAGGAGAGACCGTGCTCCGAAACCCGAGTGGCACTCATCTCCTGCTGCTGTTCGTTCCTCCTCCTCTCAATCCCTGAAAAGAACCCTTTCTTCCATCTTCTCAATATGAAACTCCGAAAATCAACCCCATCCGCCTCTTCGTCCTCCTATCCCATGCTTTATTTTCGGGTGCAGTGGTAATGATGAGACTGCGTATTATTTTAGATCTCGTTTCCTTTCATTATGTCATTGTTAGATCATGACTGTTAAACTAAATCCTTCGTTGTATTGTTTCTACTTTTCTCTCCATGCAGGGTCTTTGTTAGAGGCAGGGAG